CGATCTGATTTTCGGCTTGATATCATCCGAGGACTTTTGACAAAGTATGGACCACAAAGACCAACTACTATTGGAAGACCGCCACCAAGAGATTCTCCTCTTCGTCTCACTGCTCGACATTTTCCTTCGCTTATTCCACAAACATCACAATCAAAAGAGCCTCAAAGAAAATGTGTGGTTTGCACATCCCATAATGTTCGATCTGACACACGGTATATGTGTGTTGACTGCAATGTGCCTCTATGTATTGTTGATTGCTTTAAAGATTATCATACAAAAATAAACTACTAATGCTTCTTCGCATTAGAAACGTGATTTCCTTCAAAAAATAAATAAAAACCATATTTAAATATTTCTTATAAAAGTTTGAATTTTCGTAAAAAAAAGCCGGGAGCCAAAGGGTTAAGCAGCCTGTCTGGCCTTTGAAAGGCTGAAAATCAGAGCTAATTTCTAATTTCTGTGCCAGGCAGGTCATATTTCTTATATCATTAAGTGATCGAATAATCTTTTATTGTGTATTTATTGATATACTAGCTAACATATAGTAAAAGCGAGACAAACGATAAAATACTGAAACAATAGTACGCATACAATATACATTCAACAACATCAAACAAATATTTCTATATAATAAAAATGTAAAGTAATATGATTCTGTTACCATCTAAATTCTAATTAGTTTCATCTATGGTTTCATTACCAATGACTGTCGTTCCTGGTAATACTGGATGTATACGTATTCCACGATGACAGAATGTTTTCAAATGATCTCGCCATTGTTTCAATTCCTTGCGCGTTTCAGGCAGTGAACTAATAATAGCGAATGATAAGAATTGATTAATAAGCGAGAAAAGATAATAGAAATAATTATTTTCTATATCACTTAAAAAATCTCGCGTCCATAAAATTTGAATAACACCAACAATAACTCCTGGTGCCATGAAAATCAAGTAAAGAAGAGAAATGAATACAAGTTGAATAATCATTCGTTTTTGACGATTCCATTGAATTCGTTGTTGTCGTTTAACTTTTTGCGATATAATACGACAAAATAGGAATACATTTACAAAAATTATAATTAAAATTGGCATGCCATAATGAAATAACCAATCAAATGAATTTAAAAATTTATCAGTATATATATAACATGGAGCTACACAAAGTATGATTGTATAATACCAAACATTAACACATTTTGGTGGAAAAAATCTGTAGCGAATGTAGAAAAATGGTGTATATAACGAACATGTAATCAAAGGTATATAATGAAATAGAGTCAAACAATATTTCTTTTTCATCATTTGACTATGAAATATAAATAAATGTCGTTCAATACAACACCAGGTTAAAAGATGTAAATTTACACACGTTAATGAATAATGTAACCAATTCCAAATAGCACAAAACATGTATGTTTCTTGAACAACAATACCCCATCGAAGATAATATAGAGTAAAAGGTGAATCAGTAATTTTCTGTATAAAACTGGCTGTAAGCAAACACGCAATCACATGATTTTGCGGTTTCCTAAGAATTTCTTTTCGCCAATGACGAATAAAATAAATAAAAACAAATAAATCACAAATCAGTGATGGACCAATTGTTGTTTGTAAAATTGCATACTTTATTAGTCGAAGACGTTTGAGCGGATCCATCATGAACAAAATTGTTCTCTATATAATCAATCTGAAAGATGGAATCTTAGTTCTTATTTTCCAGTTTAGATTTACGTAATCTTTTCTAACAGAATCTATACAATGATTACAATATGATTGAGTAGTTTCGGCTTTGAAGATGTATTGCATCCGAAAGTTACGATTCTGATTCTTATTTTCCCAAAAAGAATATTAATAGTCATTTTTTTAAATTATATGACTTTGTAGTCAAAAACCGGATATAACCGTAGCCAAAATCTCTGAAAGGGCAACACATCATGAGAAAAGATGCAATTTCAGTGCATAATCCTGTTTGCTATATATTTCGTTAATCAAATTTCCGTCCAAAGAGAAGGTTGTTCAGACTTGGACTTTGTACAAGTTGTCATCATACTTGAGGAAAAGAGATGTACGGGACCAAGTTTTTTTGGTTCCAGTCTCGGTCTTGGTTCCGGTATATTTCGTTTTTTGGTCCTGTTTCTGGTTCCGGTGATTTTAGTTTTGAGGGTCTCGGTCTCGATCTAGAGAAAACTAATCCAGAATTATTCATATCACATCTCAAATAACTATTCAATNTTAGGAATAGGCAGTTTTTGAGAAGGTTTCACATTGGTACCCATTTGTTCTGTGGGACAGGGTTGATGACACGGAATGCCTTATAATCAATAAATATCCTAGGCCTATTGAAAGTGGCTATGTTTTATGTAGGGAGACAGCAACAAGGAATACTAATGAATATAGAAAATTGAAGACTACCTAGAACTCTGTTGAAAAGAGTTTTAAAAAAGAATTTACTTAGCCTTATCTTAAGACATACTGAGGACCATAATGTCTATGGGTACCATATAATATACGTTAAGTGCCATAACCAGTGTCAGGGCCCTCAGAACATCAAAGTATGATGAAAACTTGTTTTCTGATATACCATTCGATGCGCCTCAACGAGCTCTACAAAACCATGTATATGGTAATCTGGTCCGAGATGGGTCATGAAATTCGGCGGGGTCCTTTATATGATTCGCTTTTTGTCGTACTGCATAGACCGAAAAGTGGATAATTATAAAACATAGTTCCTCTAATGATTACAAGTATTAATTCGAGGTATAATCGAAACAATCTTATACTTTTTAAAAGAATAATATTATAAACGTTTTTAATTTTTAAGGGAAATGGGTGGGGGTGCGAATATGCAGCTTGATACACCCTATACACTTTTCATGAGGAATGTAAACAGCATATAGTAACCTAGAGAAATCTTTCTTTTTATCTGAAATGAGAGCAAATCGTATTCTATCTTCCTACGAGATATATGTGGTCTTCACTGTTGTATAAAGTAGATAGTTGCGCATCAAATTGTATATTTTTTGCTTTGATCTAGAACGAAATGATGCAACAACTGGCATCTTTTTTTCTTATGAACTTTTGTTTTTGTAAACATAAATATTCACTTTTATCATTATACAAATCAGAAACAATTCTACAAATTTTCACTTGAGAGTTGAGAAGATTAAAATTTAAAACACAATCTTAAGGAATATTTGAAAATAATATGTTTAAAATTGGTGTTTCTTTCGTTCGTCTCATTCAATCATTGCTTGTTTGACATGGTGTCGAGCGCACGACATTTGAGTTGTTCTTACGCATTCAAGATAAAAACAGAAACGAATTGAACACGAAACGTTTAAAGACGACAAATATATCGTGCACTCAATTTCTCAGCGTATGTCAAACACCGGTTGTTATCGTGCACTGCGTATTACAAATTTGTATCGTCGACGTCGTCTTTCATCGCGTCTTTCCGTCTCATACCTTTTCTTCTTTCCGTTTCTGCTTCTTCTCGTTCTTCATAACAGTAGAACAAAAAAATCTTTAAACTAATGGAGGTTTAGAGGGTGACTCTAAAACAAAATGAACCTTCCCAGGAATATCCAAAGCTCTGTTAGTGACCCGTACAGGCGTGTGCATAGTAGGCCTTCATAGCATACATCTACGGATGCATGACTAGAAGCGTTCATCTTGTCATCGTCTTTTCGAAGACGATGACTATGGATGTACTAGTCATATATACATACATGTATGTTTGCCTAACCATTGCCGGTTTTCTCCACTGTACAAGCCAGCAGAATACGGAGGGTATTCCTGGTCGTGCGTGCGCGAAATATTTCAGCTACTTCGCTTCGGCGAGGCGAATTTCAAGAAGGCCAATTTATTTTATTCTTCAAAAAGAAAAGAAAACAATTCCGTTTTCACAAGTGCAATGTTGGTTTTTGTTCGTAAGATTTCCGGATGTTTAGGAGGAAACGATTTTTGGTACATTCGAAGTGCTGTTTCATAACATGCAAGCGCTTTCGAGTACTCGCCGACATTATAATTTAACCACCCGATGTTGTTGTAGGAAGCAGCTAACGAGGGATGATTTGGAGGAAAAGCTATTTTCCGGATTTCAAGTGCTCGTTCGTACGATAAAAGTGCTTTCGAGTACTCGCCCATGTTATTATACGCGTCACCGATGTTGCTGTAGGATAGAGCGAAGTCGGGATGATTCGGAGGGAGAGCTATTTTCTGGATTTCAAGTGCTCGTTCGTACAATGAAAGTGCTTTTGAGTACTCGCTCATGTTATCATACATCCCACCGATGTTGTTGTAGGAAGCAGCCAAGAGGGGATGATTTGGAGGGAGAGCTCTTTTCCAGATTTCAAGTGCTCGCTCGTGAGATGAAAGTGCTTTCGAGTACTCGCCCATGTAATAGTACACCAGACCGATGTTGCTGTAGAATTTAGCCAAGTCGGGATGATTTGGAGGGAGAGCTATTTTCTGGATTTCAAGTGCTCGTTCGTACAATGAAAGTGCTTTTGAGTACTCGCCCATGTTAAAATACACCAAACCGATGTTGTTGTAAGAACTAGCCAAACTGAGATCATTGAGAGAGAGAGTTTTCTTTTTGATATCCTGTGATTTTTCGGAGTATGAAATTGCTTTTGAATAGTCGCCCATCGTGTTATATATCAGCGCAAGTTGACCTTGATACTGTGCTCTGTATTCATCAGAAGAGGCTTTTCCCAGGAGAATGTGATAGAGATGTTCTGCTTTTTTGAATTCTCCCACTTGAATAAGTATTTGACCTAGTTGAGGCCATCCTTTTCCCACCCTGTTTAGCTCTTCTCGCAATTCTGCCGTGAGTTTGTTAAAATCATCATCTTGATTACCGACGATAATGAGATTGACTTGCCATAAGCGATCAGAATTTTCGTCTTCAATTCGTTCAATCTGATCGATACGAAAAATTGTATGTGTTGAAAAAAGTATTTCTTCTTCTCGATCTTTGTAGAAGCTAACTTGGCTTACTTCGGCAAATGGTGTCGATGATTTTGTGCAAATTGCTGTGTCAATGCTCATAACGAAGAGGATGCCAACAGAATTGGGATTTTCTGTAGCTGACCGTGCAAAGTTTTCGAGAGAAATCTCGCGATTGCGACTTGTCGACAGGAAATTATTGAAGGACATCAGTCCTCCTTTGGTTTTTTTCATTTTTTCAAAATCTTTCATGGACAAACCTTGTCCACGAAAGACTTGAAAATTCGTTGGGACGTTGCCTTATTGTTGGCGATGTAATTCCGTAATATGGTTATGTAAATGGCGAATGAAGAAACCCATCTTCATGATAATATCGACATCCATTTGTCGAAGACCACAATTGAGCATTGAGTAGATAAAATATGGACCTGTGTACCACCAAATGGG